GCCAGCATTTATTGTCTGTCCCTACTTTGCCCTTGAGAAGGTGGTGGTGAGCTGCTTTCTTGAACTGCTACAGTCCATGTGCTATGGGTTGATCTATTATACCGTCAGGAAGGGAATTCCAGGATTTTGATCCAATGACAACGAAGGAACAGCAACATATTTCCAAGTCAAGATGGTGAGTGGCTTAGAGGGGAACTTGCAGGTGGCAGTGCTCCTATGTATCTACTACCCTTTGTCTTCTAGTTTATGTACTCGAAAAGAAAAGATTGTGGCTTCAAGATGAACCCTGCAGTCATGACATTTAAAACATAGACACCCGGATTTTTATTCATGACAAAATGGCCCTGAATGATTTTGGCGATATTTGGTGAGGTCCTGTTTCTAACAGAGAGCATTGCTGTTCCTCGCAGGGGTGTAGATGGGCTGTGTGCATAGAGGCTGCAACAAGTATGAGTGCAGTGGCAGGCACACATCTGAATCTGCAAAATAACAGCCAAAAGGCAGCTCTGTACAATCCCCACACTAAGAGAAGCAAAGAAGAATTAAAGGATTGGCTGCCAACAAAGTCTTCTATCGGCATATAAGTAGTAGTAAAGTAGTAAGAGAAGTAGGGCTGATTAGGGACCAAAAAGGAGATTTACACAGGGAGGCAAGGAGCATTACTGAGGTGTTAAATGAATATATTGCATCTGTCTTTACAAAAGAGATGCTAGCTAGGCCATGGTGAAACAGGAGCTAACTCAGGGTTTGCAACTGATAAAACCATGTTGGATAAGCTGTTAGTACTCAAAGTTGACAAGGTACTGGGATCAGATGAGATGCATCCAAGGAATGTGAAGAAAAGTTGAATTTGCAGGGATATTGGCCACAATCTTTCCACTTTCTCTAATCTCCCCTTCAAGACATGCACCATACTGACTTGGCAATATATCATGGTTCCTTTTGTGTCACTGGGTCAAAATCCTGGAACTCCTCCGACAACAGCATCGTGGATCAACCTACAGGACATAGACTGTAGCAGCTCACCACCACTTTCTCAAGGGTACTAAGGATGGGCAATAAATGCTAATCCTGCCAGTAAAACCCACATCCCATGAATGAACTAATAAAAAGCCAGGTAGGATGAATATTTGCTGGTAGCTGTGAAGGGTATATTGTACAAATAGGCTAGCATCCTTAATGTGCTCAGCAATATGGCCAGCACCATGATGGCAGAACTATCTTCTTTGTAGGAGTTTGGTGATGCAGGCTTTCTGTCACCTATCAATTCTGCATTGCTTCTTTCTAGCTTGTATCACATTGTTCTACAAGGGCAGGCAACACATGAGAGAGAAGGGAGCTCTGTGATTGAGTGACATTCCTGTCATGGCTAAATTGTTGGGAAGTAGGCAGAGAGATGAATGTAAGAATGGCAACATGGGTAGATGTGTGAGGATTTGTTGGAGTTTGTGAATGTTGGATGGGTTCTGAGTAGCAGGGCATGATGTAACAGAACTGCCACATACAGATACATTCATTGACATTGCACTAGAGATCATTTGTCTCTTTATGACACTGCTCTGATTAAGACATGTAGAATGATTCTGGAAGCATTGTTTCTCATTTTAATTGTCCATTTGCTCTGTGAAACTGAATACAAACTGTTTAGTCTAGTTTTTCATCACATTAATGTGATTCAAATAGACAGGAGAGTGGACTACAGAAGAGTCTCTTTCTGACCAACCTCGATTCCTTTCACAACTAAGAAGTGTAGTCGCTGCAGTGTTAAAGTGATCAGAGGTCATAAAAGCTTTATATAAAGGCAAGACTTTTTGCTAAGAAGTTCCATACTGGTCTCCTACTCTATGTGTGTTTGTGGGAGCAGAAATCCCTTAATGAAGAAACAAACAGAATTTATTAACTGGTCCTGAGGAACTTAGACCTATTCTTTACTAGTCAGAACTGGGTATTATCACAGTTGATGGTTGATATTTTAATAATAACAAACACTTCTAGTCCAGATCTCCAAAAGTTAATTTTAGAACACAAAGTGTTATATATTGTAAGAGTACATATTAAAACAGAAACTGAAAAACTCAGTTGGTCTGACAGAACCCATGGAGAGATGTCCACAAATATAGAGTTTTGTTAAATTAATTATAAAAATAAATTCAGTAATTTCCAGATTGTTCAAATCACAAACATCTATTTCAAAGCACAGTTCTTTTGATTTCTAATTATACTTATTCCGTTCTCAGAATTTATTTTATGCCTTACCAATCTTTTAACCAATTTTATCCTGAGCAATTTCTCTATTACCACTCCAAACCTTTACATTACCAATGTTTTTTTTTGAAGACACAAGAACTTATTTAATATCTTAGCTATGTCCTGTTTCTCACAATAAAATTCATTTTAAGTTCTTACTCAAATTCTCAACTTATCATTTACAGATGTTTGAACTGAGAATGAGAATGTTCCCTTTCCCAAACTGCTCTCTCCGTTACCTTCCTTTTTTGCCAGTGTGCTATACTTTCTGCATTGAGATTGACCCTTGACTGCATTATGAATGTAAAATTGAAGGCGTTTGTTTTCAGTTTCAATTTGCATAAACTCACAGTATCTTATAGCATTTAGCCTGTTACAGCTGGATCTTTTAACAAGCTACCTGATGTAGTTCCCCACCTCAGTTTTTTCTGCATAATTAATTATTCTTTTGTAGAATTTGATTCTACCACTCATTGTATTCTAGATCTTAACAACCCTGTGCATGAACATTCTCATTTCCCTTCATAGGGCTGAACTTGTTTTAATAAGTTACAATTTTGTCTTGGTAATGTATGTGGAGGAATTATGTTCTATTTGATTGGGATTAGTTGTAAACAGCTTCTGTAATGAAGAATGGCCATATAGCCTAGGTTAAAAATAAGTTTTTTTGGTTGTCTTTTGGCTCACACATGATAAAACAGTAAAAAGAGTATTAGGCAAGGGCACAGCTATGTTTTAAATTGGTTCAATTATATTAAGAACAGATTATTTTTTCACGATTATTTTGAGCTTTATCCTCTTTAGGCATGAACAGCTATTGTGGAGTCACAAATGGTTCTTTTAAGTAAGGAATAGGCTTTGGGGTGTTTGGCATGGTAACAATCACTGTGGGGGTGACACTACATTTTCAAAGGCAAACACATTACTGCTAACTGGCTTCATTGGTGCAATATAAAGACGTAATTTAAAATTCCAGGTTGATAAAGAAAAGCTGCTACAAAAGGGCTGACCTTACCTGGTGTGTTAAAGATTGAAGTAGGAGACAACAGGAAATGACAACATTAAAATGCCAGTACTCCGAAAGGGACTAATTAGGAATTGAGGACTTGTGGAGTTGAGAATCATCAGACCAGCCATGAGCTCATTAATGACAGAGCAGACTCAAAGAGCTGAATGGCCTATGTCTTATGGAAAGTTTAGCCAATCGGAGATTGATCATGTGCTATCAATGCATTGGCAAGCCAATCAATTTCATGATGTCTAGGCCCGAAACGTCAGCCTTCCTGCTCCTATGCTGCTGCTTGGCCTGCTGTGTTCATCCAGCTCTACACCTTGTTATCTCAATTTCATGATGTCCCTGCTTAACAAGAGTTAACAAGTGATGCTTCTTAGTATTTCAATACACAAAAAAAAAGACAAAACGGCTTCAGTCAACACTGAAGGACATGTGTGCCTAGTTAACTAATGTCATGAGCTGGCATCCTAAAGTGGATCAACTAAACAACCACTGCTTTTATTAAGTATAATTTCTTCTGTAACTGTTTTGATAAAGATAAATTCTGCAAAGCTTGTGAAAACATATTTAAAATCAGAATGATCTTATAACTAATCAGGATTAGTAAACTTTTAGATTGGCTCTCTCAACTCAATTTACAATTGTAATTGGCTTAGGTCTTACGGTCCAAGTGAACCCCAAGATTTGTACACTACCTAGTTGACGTGCCAATTATTTTGAATAAATCACCTTGTTTCTCCTCTGGGCAGTGGATCAGTGACAATTTCTTCCTACTTGCTTTATCAAACACCTCAAAATATCTTGGAGGTTTTCTTGACCTGTTCTGTTCAAAGGAGAACAATCTCAGTTTATTCAATCTCTCCACACAGCTGAAGCCCCTGAACCCTAGTGTCATCATGATAAACTTCTCCAGTACTGTCTTCAAGGTCTTGGCATCCTTCTTAAAGTGTGGTGCCTAGAATTGAATCATAACCATAAGATACAGGAGCAGAAATCAGGCCATTTGGCTCTGCAGTCTGCTCCACCATTTCATTGTGACTCTCAACACCATTCTCCTGCCTTCTCCCCATAACACTTGACAACCAGAGAATTATAAAGGTTTGGGGCTCAAAGACAAGGAGAAAGGTGATTTTTGAGGATTTTAACATGGATTCACTGCATGTAAATTAGTATTTTTAGTATTGCAACTAGTGAAATTGTAGAAAATTGTCTATTGTAAAAAGTTCCTAACAATGTTTGTCATGAAAACTTAGGTTCTGAAGTGGACAGAACATTATAGACTTGACTTTGATTTGTATTTTTATCTCATATGGATAAAGGGGATACAGTTGTAATTTCATTTTTGAATTCAGTGTGGTACTGTATAGGATAGACTGGAGGTTGGTTACATGCATTAAAGTCAGGTCTTCAGAATATGAATATGAAATACCCAGATATTTCACTACTTAAAAGCCTTATTGTTTCTTCATTATTTTACTCAAGTCGGTCTTTCTTTTGTCACTTCATCCTGATTCCTGTCCTGTTCTGGTTCAACTGACAACTTAATTTTCACCTCCCCTGCTCCAGTGCTGGTACCAATACCTCAAGAATCTGAAGATTTCCTTATAGTATCATTTCTCCTGTTACTATTAGCCGACTTAATAAGGCTGCTAAAATAGTAGAGAACTTCAAAACAATGTGTCAATGTTCCTTTGACATTTCAGGGTCTTTGTTCATGTAAACACAGACTATTAAACAGTTTGTTACCTCCCTCTTATGCTTTATTGACAAGTCAATATTCAATATTTTGTCAAAGCACAATTCCATAATTACAAAGAGTGGTTAGCTGATTTTTAACACTATCCACTTTCACAAATTAACATAAAAAAACAAACCTGTTTCACCAGTAGTGTTAGGCTCCACAGTGAGCCCTTTTAAGTAAATGAAAGAAGTTTGATTAGTTGCTTAACGTGGCACGTCACAATTACCCACTCGGTCAGGAATCTGGGTGACTAAAACATGCAAGCTCTTTGCAGTGATCTTGAATAGGGAAATCATACTGCATCTGTATGAATAGTAAGTTGTCACAAATACAGCACGGAAGGCACACAGGTGTGATGACAAATTGGATATACTGGCTGTGGTGTATAAGCCTTTAATGCAAAATGGACAATTCAATGAGTAAGAATGTTATCATACACCGAACATGAGTTATATATACATTGACACACGTACACATTAATTGCATCCACCAGGAGCACATCATCTGGGTGCATATCAAAATGTACAAGACTACTGTGGATATCTTTTGATTTTAAACCAGTACAACATGTTTTGATAGTATGTATTTTCCATGCAAAAACTGAATTTGAAAATGATCAAATTAATGTAGCTTTCTTGTATCCCAGAGTCCACTGCCTTATATTTATACTACCTCTTAATCAGCAATAAGGACAATCATAATTTGTCAAATCTTACAATAATTGTATATTTGAGAATGCAGCAGGTCCAAGTCTGGTGTTTCCCAGCATTAATATTTCTGCATTGGGCCCATAGACATTGATAAACATAGATATGGTCTTTCACTACAATACAGCACAAAGAAAGGACATCTACTTCAAAAGGTTAAAAACAGTAATACAAAAAGCAACTAAAATTCTTATTCACAGTATTATTTACTAGTGTCATGTATACCCTGAAGAAAACATTTTTTTCTTTTTTAATATATAAACTAAGATACAGGAACAGTACATGGACAATTTTATTTCACCATTTACCAACTATATTAGAAATTTGGAAGGAAAGTTTGGTGTGAAAGAATGTGTGGGCTTCACAATCCCAAAATCATCTGGCTGTTAAAGGCTGCAAACTTAACAACAACACTGCACAAAACCGTAATCACCAAAGAATACGAGTAACACAGTCATTTTATTGGGCTGATAGTCAAAATAAGCTGGAAATGCTCATAAAGGAGCCTGAATATATAATTTAATGTGCAATCAGCAAGAATTAACAGAAGGAATTATTCTCCATTCTTGGCACTTTCTTGGAACAATTCAGCAAAACTCCATTTTTCAAGAGGAAAAGAATCCGTGAAACGGAGATTCCTATCGTTGTGTGGCTTTATGATCTGCAAAGTGTTACTGGAGGCAAAAGTCATGCATCACAAGTGGAATGGTCCAAACCATCCAGTGTAATTTGGTTCCTGTGAGGAGAGTTTGGACTCGGTGGGCTACTTGGATTTGAGCTGTTTGAAGGAGTTGAATGCCTTGTTGAATCAGAGTCCTGCTGATATATATATATTAAAAATCAGTAAGCATATTAGTTTGTTTGTTGCTAATCCACAAGAAAGTATAACCAGGCAGTGAAACATTTTCATTAAGTTATCAATTTAAATGAACTGAGCCCAAACAACTGTATCTCCACACCTACCTCTCTCTCAAAATCTTGATCAGGATCAGAAATATTACGTGTTGTCATGACACCTTCCCCACCTAAATAAAAGAAATGTCTACATCATATGCAAATACAGTACTTTTGCCATATTTAAAGAATAGTACAAGTATTTCTAGATATCATATTTAAGCAGCATTCAAGCTTCATTCCTGGCAACTGCAGAGAATTAATGGAATCAACTATTTAAAATAGAGATAGAAAATATCCAAATGGAATGACCTAATAAATAGCAGCCAACATAGCTCCAAACTTTTTTTGACTAACCAATGTCAGACGAGTGGTGACATTTCAAATTGGCAGCAATATTCTACACAACGTAGAGAGTCTAGAATTCAAAGCGCCTTGCCAAAGAGATAAGTCAGTGGATAATAAGAACACGATATTGGAAAGTAACAGTAACTGATGAAAAAGTGGCAGAAAACATTTGAGGATAGTGAGGTTAACTGGGGCCTAATGGTATACATAGAATGCATGACGGGTCTGTCCCCAAATCCATTCTGCAGCTAGTATCAATAAATGACCAACATTCTCATTGCTCCCGAGAACTTATGGTCTCATGTGTGCCATTATGAAAACCACCTGTTTCCACCTCTGTAACATCAGCTGGTTTTATCCCCCAGCAGCTCACCTGCTGCTGAAATCCTCATTCATGCCACGGCTACCTCCAGATTCAACTATTCCAACACATTCCTGGTTGGTCTCCTACATTCTACACACTAAACTTGGAGGTCATCCAAAAGTTGCTCTTTGTTAGCTGACCTGCATTGGCTTCCAGTCAAGAAATGTCTTGACTTTAAAATTTTCACCCTGGTTTTCAAATCTCTCCATGGCCTTGTGCTTCCCCTTCTCTGAAATCTGATATCTGTTCTTCTATAATTCTGGCCTCTTGAGCTTTCTCAGTTACAGTAGCTCCAGTATTGGTTTGCTGAGCCTTCGGTTGCCTAGCCTCCAAGGTTTAGAATTCCCTTCCTATACCACTTTGCCCCTTTAAGGTACTGCTGAAATCTACCCCTGACCAAGCTTTTGCTCATCTCCTTAAGTGATCGGTGTCATACTTGGGACTTTTGCCCCATTAAAAGTTCGACATCTAAAGACGTCTTTTTGGAAATAAATGTTAATGCTAATTACTCACATGCAGAGCTAGGTAGAGCTGTCGAAGCACCCATCTTGGCAGATACATTTACCTCACATTTGAGAGAGATGGTGGGATTCTCTGTTATGGGTCCTCTCTTATTAACATAAAGCTTTGTTAAATTAACTACTTGGTTTCAAACATTAATTAATGTGTTATCAATATCAACTCCTTATTGTGGTAACACCTTCTAAAACTTTGACTGGGTAGCCTCTAGTTGCATTCATTGGAAAGGTTTAGAGTACATAGGTAAGAAATTTGTTATTCAATTGCACAGCTTTGGTCAGGCCACACCTGGATACTGACTGTTTTGGACTTCATATCAAGGGATGGATATTCTTGTATCAGAGGAATGCACTAGACGGTTCACCAAGTTGATTCCGGAAATACGAGTCAGTGGAAAAGCCTGTAACTGGGAGCACTGTGAATCCTTGAATTCTCTCCCCTTGAAAGGTGTGGACATTCAGAGTCCAGGTTGATAAAAATAGGACTTTTACCCCCTCTTAAATTAAAAGAAATAATGATTAGATGGGTAAGTGGAGAGGAGGTCAAAGATGAGCCATGATCTTATTCAACGGCAGAGAAGGCTCAAGGGCTATATGACTGACTGCAGCTCCTATTTTCAGTCCTTGCTTGAATTCAGTGTTCTTCTCCACAACAGATACAAACAAACTTAAACTAGTACAAATGGGTAGAATTCATTTTTTAAAAAAATCCAGAACAAAAAAAAACTTACAAAATTGCTCTTCAATAGTCCTTTTGAGCCTGTAGGCTGGAATTTGTTAATATCCTACCTGCTTTCTTCAGCTGCCAAGGAAGAGGTTTCTCTATCATGGTTAATCTAGTATATTAGCAAAAGCCATAAACTATTCTCTGGTCACCAGTTCCAGCTCTCTTTTCAGCATCTGTTTGAGGTTGAGCTGAAAGGCTTGCCATGTTGCTATGGTATTTGACCCCCCCCGAGATGAGATCAGCAACACACAAATGCCATCATCTATATCCACTTCCTTTCATTGTCAAATTATTCTCCTGCCTTAGCTCATCTGCTGCTGAAATCCTCATTCATATCTTTGTTACCTCTAGATTTGATTATTTTAATGCATTGCTGGCTGACCTGCCACCATAAATCTTTCCATAAGCTTAAGGTCAAACAAAACACTTTGATCCATATCCTAAAATCACACAAATACCATTCAACTATTAAGTAGCTTGCTGTCCTGCAGTGACTTCCAATTTTGTTTTCATGGCTTTCAAATTCTCTTCCTTATTCAGAAATTCCTTCATGACCTTGTCCTTGTCTCCAACTGTGTAACCTCATTTAGCTCTATAACCTTCAGAGATATCTGCATCCAGTATTTTAACTGCTCTATCATTGGCAATTGTACTTTCAAATGTAAAAAGATTCACGGTTTGGAATTCTCTATGTAAACTACTTCTTCACATCCCTTTCTTTCTCTTCTTCTTCGAGGCCCCTGGAGACTTTGCATCTGCCCTAATTTCCTCGTGTGGCTCAAACTCTAAATGATAGCGGTCTCGAAAAATGCCTTGGGATACTTGATTGCATTAATGAGAGGTGCCGGTGTTAGACTGACGTGGACAAAGTCAGAAATCACACAACACGAGGTTTAGTCCAACAGGTTTATTTGAAAACACCAGCTGCTGGACTATAACCTAGTGTCGTATGATTTCTGACTTAGTGCATTAAGGCAATTATATAAATACAACACTCTTGAAGAGCAACAAATTGTTTCTCATACATTATAATGAATACTCTTCCCCGCACACAAATGTGTGTCCATGGATGAAGCTAGGGAAGAGTCTTTTTTGAAGAAGAAAAAAGGTACACAACTTACCATCCAGCTATAAACCAATAATTTATTATTTTACTTTTATTGCAAAATACATTTCCATTTTTTTTAAAATTAGAAAACCTATACAGTGATCAAGAACATTCAAGCATTTAAAAAAAACTTTCTTGATCACGCTGTTAGCAACACCCACGTACAATTCAAGACTGTTAAAATAAAGGATCACAATTACAGAAGACAAATGTTATTACCTGATGCTGTACGTGTAAGGTACTGTTTGCTTCGTTGTTGTCTTGAAGGATTAGATTGGGAAGCACGTTTCTCTCTCAACTGCTCATCCTGTGATACTGGTGACACGCTCTATCACAAGAAATGAAAGATGACATTTTAATTTGTTTTTTTTTTTTTAAAAAGTGCTCAATACTGCTATAAAGACGGAGTTGAAGATGATCCTGTTTTGAGAATATAATCAGCTGCATTTTGGGATAGGTATTCCTACCCTGACTGAAGAGGGGGGACAGGGAGAGGAAAGCACAGGGGAACTTTGCAGTGAAAAATGATCATTCTGGAGATAGATTTCAGCTGAGAGTGGGTTAATGTGATAAACATGTTCAAAGTTAGTCAGAGATGATGAGGGGGAAGGAAACTGATTGTGCTTAAGTCGACAAAAGGAAACAGACGAGTTAATTATCTCAGGAAAATATGCATCCAAGAAACTAATGTGCTATTTTCTGATGCCCACAAACATTTTAAAAAAACTTTTAGATTTCAGAAATTAAATCTGACTACCAAAATATTCATAGACATTGATACCAAAGTCTAACTTTCACAGCGGTTATTTTAGAGCGATAAACATTCACAAGCAACAACAGATGCTTGCTTGCTGTCTGTAAAAGGTTTAACACTTCTAAATCCGTAAAACATTTTATACGGTGAACACATTGATAGGTTGTTACAGAACTGTGAAGTAACTTAAAAAGAACCGACATAAACTATAACATCGCTTATTGGATCTTTTAACTATAATTGCTACTTTCTGTATGACCTCAAGAGATGTTTGCACAAGCATTTTTTCTGCGGTTACTCTGGTAGTAAGTACTCAGCCTATACATGTAAAACATTTTAAAAGGTGCCTGTATGTTTCTTGATTTAGAAGCTACATTTCCATTGCAGTGAAACTCTCATTGAAGAGATGCTCTCTAATTAAAAGGAATGAGGTACATAGGATACAAGTTGAAAGAAAATTGTAAGTACAAACAGTATATAATTCACAGTTTAAATTCTGTGATGTTGTTTATTGATAAAGTTGAAGATCATTCTGAACATTTCATATTCAATTACACTTAGAAATTTGTTTGAGGCTCAAGACTAATCTCAACTCCTCAGAATTTTTCACTTGTGTTGTAAAAGTAAGGATTAAACAAATAATTACAGCAGTTTAGCTAATTTAAAAGATAATTTGGGCACAATATTCATTGACCTTGTTGCACAGATTCCTAAGCTAAGTTTGTATTCTAACAAAGATTATGCAGATTAGGTAGATTGGATAGGTTATACTGCCCATAGTGTCCAAGGATGTGCAGGCCAGGTGGATTAGCCATGGGAGATGGTTCTGGGTGGGATGCTCTTTGGAGGGTCACTGTGGACTCAACGGGCCAAATGGCCTGCTTTACATTATAAGGATTCTATGATTCAAAATGGAATATAACATTTCAGTTGGACAAAAATATGGAAAATTGGACAAAAATATGGCACTTTTAGTGTCTGTTTTCTATATTTACCAGTGGGAGATCCATAAGTACTTGCATGCCATCTCCTGGCCCCATGTGAGCTACATGGTTAAAGTTTGTTGGATTTGATATCAGTTTTGACCGCATCTCAGGATCTCTCAGCATTTCCCTGGTGTGAAAATATACGTAATCAATGTAAGACAGAGGTTTTGGAATTACTCATAAATATGGTTCAACATCTTTTAAATTACACATATTTAACACAGCCAAAGTTAGGTATCCTACCGTCTTTGTTGTAACCTTTCCTCTTCTGGTATCTTAAAAGCAAATCGCTTTTTGCTGCGGGTTCTGAGCATCTGTTTTCTGCTGTTGTCTGATGTGTCTGGCACACTCAAATTATCTCCCTCTGCAAATAACGTGTGAAATGAATGCACATTAGAAGGCCAACTGCATCAGATATTAAAGGGATAAGGCATCAAGATGTTAAAAAAGGACAATTAAGGGGATGTGCAAATTAAGTCTTGCAATCTCTGCTTATAATGTGAATATTATAAGCCTTGCAAAAATTCTACTGTTCATAAGCACAAGAGATTGATAACTCAAATACAAGATAACTAGATGGTCTTTTGCACGAATGAACAAATATCTGTGAACTAATCAACTGGAGAAAGTAAATCATGATGCCATTGAGATACTCATATGGGTTGCAAAAGTCTTTCTCCCAGTTGTCTTCAGTTTTAAAAATAGGACATGAGGCTAGAATATTGCAACAAAATGTCATTGGTACTGTCCAGAATTTTGCCCATGTAACGTTGCAGGAGCAATCTAGTGAATACTGTCAGACTACTCTGACCTTGTCTTCACTCAATATTCTCAAATGGTTTTTCCATCAGGGATCACAGCACAGCACTTTGGAGTGGTTGCTTAATCCAGGAATATCGAATGTAACATTCCGCACCCTAGTCTCAGATGAGATAATTTAAATCAGCATAGACCATAAATTGAACTGGAACTTTTTTATTCTACGTAGCTTAGTACATTTACCTTGGCTTCTTTAAGATTTCATTCACCTTTTAAAAAAGTAATGTTTGAGAAAAGCAGCACACCACAAAGCAGAGAGTATTAAGTGCTACTTCAAATGTGAATTTTCTGACTTTCAAACTTGTAAGAGATAAATTCTCTGACAATCAATGTTGGTAATTCTCAAGTCAACAAAATTGGAATAAAAACGAGCTCATGCTGGCACAAAAGCTATAATGTAACGCCATTCTTGTATGGCAATGGATCTTAAAAAAAAATTGAAATTAAAAATAAACAAACAATACGACGTTAAATCTCCTTATACCTAAAAACACTAAGACCTCCAAATTGAAATCTCAGACTAAAATTATTCTTTATTGAACCACAGGTCTTTGGTATTAGTTAGAACTTGCTGAAGAAAATGAAACCATAGGATATGTGTAGAAGTGTTTGGGACCAATTGCACCATGACATCCAAAAGTTAGAAATGAGGACAAGATGGCAAATATACAATCTTCCAAACATAGCCTCAAAGCAAATGTCCACTTCTCCAACATAATGTTTGACAAGGACTCAAATATACGCATATAAAATTAATGAAACAAACCAGAGTAGTTATTCTTGAAATATATTAACCGTGGAGGTTCCGAGTTGAGCTGGTTTAATGAACCTTCAGCATTTAACGGTCTGATCTGGTTTAAAAAGAAAACTCAATTTGAAAACTGTATCATGTAAGATATAGAATTGTTAAAAACAGATGTTTGCATCAAACAGGACTCCATGACCGTCTACAGTACCTTCCGAAGAGGAATTGTTTGGACCCATTCCGTTGTGTTCACATCAAAGACGTCCACACCATACTCACTGTATACCGTTAGATATGAAGAACTGTAACCTAGCATACATGTAAAAACCAACCAGATAGTCAAATTCAGTAAAAGACATGGGTCTGGAGCTTTCATTAAGTTGTGTTGGTAATACCAACATAATTTGCACAAACTATTGTTAAAAAAAGGAGTTACAAGTTCAAATTATGTCCAATGCCAATCCAGCTTCCTCAATCTTCAAACACTACTCTTTAAAAAATTGTGTGCTGGGAGCCGAAAAACCGGCTACACCCAAATTGAATAAATACACGGTAGTTTCCCAAATCCTTCAAAGGGACTCTCAAAATGAAGCTCTTTTTTGTTCTACAGACACCAGACACTAATGTACACTTTTAAGTTTTTCAGTCTCCTACGAAACTAACTATTGCACACAAATCATCTTGCAAACAGCTCTGTATATTTTCTTTTAAGGTCACTGTCAATTATTTAAAACTAGGCTGCTCACACGTGATGGACCCATCTTTCTAATATTTTTTGTGATTAATCATTTTCAGTTATATTAATAAAACTGCACCAAGCCACCACTTTTAAATTTGTCAAGGAATTTGTTAATGCAAAATTTTAAGAAGTTCTAAAACTGCCCTATTGGGCTAGTTTATGGAGGATTATGCATTTTGGCCATATACAAGTATGTTGAAAATGAAACTTGAGCAAAACAAGTACACTTCCCACAGTCTGGAGAACAATTTGTATCCAAACCACCAATTCAACTCAAAGTGGAAAATGTTAACCCTGATATTCAAAACTGAGTTCATCAACAGTTTCTGTTAAAAAGCCAATTCCCTTCTTTCCTTTGCAATGTGCTCCCCTTCTTTCCTTATAGGGATATGGTTCTACAGACACCATGAACTTCAGTACATAGCTTTCACTGAATGCTCTTCAAAATAGTCCACATACCAACAACAAATAGCACATAACTACACACACTGCGCACCTTAAATGAAAATAAAAGCACATTAAACTTCACACTGATGCAAACTGGCATTAGAAAAGCAAGCTAAGCCACATTAGAGTGGTTGAGCAAAAGCTTTGTTAAGGTGATCTGTTTTGTGATATCTTTTGAAGAATCATTTGAGAAAATCCTGCATTAGAAGACACTAATTTCAGGTGATCAATGAAGAGACATTGTAGGGATCAGAGTCAGAGCAATAGAAACCCGAATTAGATTTGAGATATGGTAATTGCTCATACCACCCTATGATTAATAAATGAAGACTTTCTGGGTCAATGAAATAAAAAAAAAATTTCTCAAAAGAATTTGTAAAAGCATTTTCATGAGATACTGAAGCATAACACATAGTGCCTGTGCCATCAAATTCTCAGATTAATTCAACTTTAAGCTTATTAGAAAATAAATTTTCAGCATATTTCAGATATTCACAACTCTGAAAATTTTTCTCATGTGTCTTCTTAATCCTTCTTCCAATCACCTTAAATCTGTGCCTCCTGTTAAAATGATTTTTATTTAATTTTAGTTTTACACCTCATCCCTCAGCCGCCTCTGAACTAAGGGAAACAAAGCCAGCTGAGCTAATCAATCTTCATACCTGCAACTTTCAAGCCCTGGCAACGTTCTTGCAAATCTCCTTGGAGTCTCTCTACAGCAATTACATCCTCTATGTAATGTGGTAACCAGAACTGTACAGAAAACTCCAGCTGTGGCCTAACCAGTGTCTTGTATTGTGTCAGCATTACACTCCTCTTTTGTATTCAATATCCCAGCCAATGAAAGAAAGCATCCATCTACTTTCATTACCACTTTACCTGTCTATTCTTCTATCTTCGGGTACCTGTGGTCACGCACCCCAACTTCTGAACTTCCTTCGCAAGATCTCATCTCTCTTTTTGCCTATGTCATTAATCCAAATATGGATCACAACCTCTGGCTGCTCAACCTCTCCCTTCAGAATATCCTGCACCCACCCAGCCATTCATATATTCTGTACCCAATGGCCTTGGTCAGGAAATCTCATAGCCACGAGTACCTCAGGCTTATAGGGTATCATATGGCTAACATAAAGGCCTAGATTTTGTGGCAGCATTGATAATAGAAGTCCCAAAATTCTCAGCCATTAGTGCTCTGAAATCTGATTCACACCAACAGAACCACAAACCCTATCAGAATGAAGACTTGTGATACTGCACAAACCTCTCTCTGACAATCGAAACTGGACTCATGGTCATTATTAGACTCTTAATTCGAGATATTTGTTGAACATAAATTCCACAATCTGCCATGGTGGGATCCGAATCCATGTCCCCAGAACATTACCTGGGTCTCTGGATTAATTGTCCAGTGATAATATCACTGGGCCATTGCCTTACCAATCTCCCGCATTCAAAAATTCAAACAGGGCCATATGATTCCAATGCTGATTCCCTAAAATGGACAGTGGTCTCAATTTCAGTTTAGAGATAACCCAGTATCACCCTTCTTGGCTTATAAAAATAGGACCTTTTGGTAATGAGGATAGTAGAAGATGGTTTCAAGATACCACTTTTCACAAACATGCCTTTAAGCAAAATCCTAAAAATGGAACCAGGGAGGAGAACTACCCTCCCAATTTCTGGGAACATCATGAGGAAAATCTTTACAGGGCAGTCAAACTAAGTGGTAAAAAATAATCACAGACTAGAATTAGAACTTAAATTTAGAACTAAAACATTGACCAAGAAATCTGCACAGGTTTGCTAGTAGCAATTGCGTAGTTACAGTTTTAACGCTTTTGCTTGTTTGTAAGAAGGGATCCGAAGTTAACTGGATGATGTGACTCGATTCTTATTGTTCGGTTCTTATCTTGTGAAATAAAGTAGTTCATCCAACGCATACCTGTCTTGACTCCTTAAAGTGACTTTAGTTTATCAACGGAAGCTTAAAGATGTTCATATGAATCCTGCACAGATCAAATGGTCCTATTCTTAAACAAAGCTGCATTATCTTATTATTAGATGGCAGTTTAGGTATAGTCATGGCAAATGTCTGGTACTGCTAAATCTGACAGCATGTCTAAGACAAGATTTCAATCTTTTGCGCCTTTCAAAATAAAAGTTTAAGAGATTTGAAAGGTAGCATCCCTTTTTGAAATCCTTTCCAGTTTATCTCTTATTCCAACAGTGAATGCTGAGGGTATCATGGGAAAATTATTTTGAAAGTGAAGAAACCAGGCTAGGTGCACAACAGTCTATCATAATTACAGAACAGGTTAATACTTGTATTTTTAAAAAAAACCTTTGAGCTATTGAAAGCCACAACCAGGTCTGTTCTACCTAAGAATTAGAGAAGAATGTATTTTCAATAATTTAGTGGGTAAATGTAACCTTGGTATGTTCTGACGTATGAAGATTGGGTAAACTTAAGCTCAATTTTTGGTCTAAATTAACTCATCTCACTCAGTGTGGTAACAGGGCTCAAATGAACTTCATAGCTACCTTCCTCCTGGTAAAGGGCCAGAGCAATAGGTGATATTAACCACAATTTCTACTATGTTCATTATCCAGTGACCTTTGTTGGAAAGTATAGATGTGAGATTTTGAGGAGGACAGGATAAAATTGATCTACTAACCCACCATTCTGACTTTGAACTATAGTGCTGGTCCTCCATTGTTGTTGGATCAAAATTCTCAAACAACTCCTTCACAGTGTGAGTGTAGCAACACCACATGAACTACAATGGCTCAGGAAAGTGGCTCACTACAATGTCCTTAAGAGAAATTAGTAATGGACAATAAATGCTGACTTGGCCAATGGTATCATTGTCCATAAAGGAATAAAAATAAACTAGTTAAGTACTATAGCATTATTCTAACAATGTGGAATAAATGTACACTCCAAAGATAGATCGATAGATATATAAAAAGTAAAAACAGTAGAAGTGTGTATAAACGGGCATTTAGCTTTATATATCCAGATATAAATTTTTAAAATGTATGCTAATCTGTGAGCTGTGATAAGAATTCTTCCTTGATTATAGCTCTGATTGCTATTTGATACTTGCATAAGTATTCCATTTCAAATAATTATTCAGCTAGCTGAAAGACCTGATTCAATTTTTTTTGCAACAGACCACACATTAAGTATTCATTGCTTCAGTGCAAAATATTTTGTTTGGCATTTGAAAATATCACACACCTTGATCTGGAAGGCATTTAAAAATATAAACTGAAAAACTTCTTGAAATATAAATTTCAAAAATGGTAATTAATTGAATACTCAAACGTACAATCCAAGAATGGTCAAGTGTTTAGCAGCATTTTTGGAACTATTGTAGTAGTAATACTTTTAAGGGATTCTTACAATTGGCATGTGAACTCGAATGGGAAAAAGGATTTGGATAAACAGAAAAACGCACATAAAACATAATATAACTGCAACTGATGCACAAAGCAGAAATTGTGTACATACCGCAGGCAACAGGAACTGCAGGCCACATCAGCTCTTGCATTCGTGACCTTCTCCCTTGCAAGTCCACATATACACCAACATGGCTAAAGCAGAGCAAGTACTCTTTACTGCTAAGCTGCATAGCACAGAGAGCATCAAAAGGTTGCTGTGAGAGAAATGCAAGTGATGAGTCCATTGGATTTACGAGATTAATGGAAGGTCCATCTCCCTGGATGTTAAGCAGTGAAAATCCAGAAGGGTAGCCAACACAAAGTTTTTCTTCAAAGATTGCCATCCATTGCACATTCCCTAGGGCCTGAATTTCATTGAATTTCTTGTAATAAGGTTTAGTTCGGCTAATTTCATAGCACAGGATTTGCCGTTTCACTGCCACAAAAAGAGCGCTCACAATACCCTGCCGCATGGATCCAGAAACCATGGTCTGGCAGCCTTTTGTTTCAGTGAGTTTAATATCAAAGGTGGTGTCAGGTCCATCAAAAGCAGCCCATGGATAAAAATGAACGTGTCGGTTTCGGCCACAAATAAGGACAATGAGATTTTCTTTGGGAATGAGCTCAATCTGGTAGACTTTTTTACAGTCAGCTGCTCGAACAATCACTGTAATTAAAGAAGATATATTACACACATTACAAACTTTCCTACACTGAAATTAAAAAGATGTAATTAAGGTACATCTTTGACCACTTATTAAGTCTTCAACGCTTTCACATTGAGTAGAGTGAGCCAAGTTTATAAGAAATAAATCAGTTATAGATATTTTTGAAAATTATAATTATGGTTCAGTTGCAGTGAGTGAATTGAACACTCCCGAAAATCCGAACTAAAACTTACTATCTCGTGTTAACTCGACTGCATATAGTCCTTCCTCTGTACCCAGAGCTATACGCTCACGATCTATGAAAATCACAAAAATTGAGATTTGATTTTACAGAAGTAAACAGGAAAGGTTAGCACAAATGTTTATATTCCCTTCATCCAACAAAGAAAACATCAGCTAGTCTTACCGATAACAGCAGCAGATAAACTTGTTTTAATAAAAGGCAGTGTACTATCATACGCTTCCTGTGGAATATATACAACTCTGTTCCTAAGTTTATTTTTTTGTAGGATATTCTGCAGTCCTTCTAGGATTCCAACCCATTTCCTTTTCTCACTTTCACTTTCTGTCAGGATTAGTAATGAACAGGTCTTTGATGGTGAGGAGAGCAGCAAAGTTGTCACCTGCAGAATAGAAGTTAACATAACTTCATTGGTATAATTATCACAAATACAGTTATCATCATTTTTGAACACAAAGTAAATTAGGGTGATTTTGTATTCATTCACAATGATACAAAATATTGCATTTTCAGTCATGGCTTTTAATAGTTCCTATAATATTCCTTCAGTATTGGAACAATGTGCCACTAAACTTTATCCAAAAATTCTCATTAACAATGGATGTTAGAGAATGGAGGCACATTTTGATCTTGAAAAAAAAAAATTCCAGCATTTCAACAGGACAAAAATTACATCGACTAACTCAACAATACACTTCAGACATTTCTGACTGAGCTTGCCAGTTTAGGGGTAATACACAATGAGTCACCAATCACTTCCTATAGGAATCTCAGAGACACCATGTGAAAGAGATTTTCATCCCTATCATCTGGGTTAGATTTCAGCCCAAATTCCATTGCTCCTAAGTCACAATATGAAATCAGTACACAGATTAAGGGCTTACAGATATTACTGAAATGTTAATACATATTTCATATACTCCCATTAGGGCACATTTCCATATGGACAATGGCAGGGGAAGATAATAACTAAAATTAAATTATTGTTAGGTTGATACTAACCTTGAAAATACACGGAATATCCTTCCGGGTAGCATGAATGACATCAGATGCAAACACTGAACTCACAGAAAAGGCTTCATCTCTGCAAATAAACAAGTTTAATAATGATAATCATAACATAATGAATAAAACAAAACCAAATCTAAATGAACGGGATGAGAGCATCCATTGACTAGACTGGCATTTATTGCCCAATCCTAATTGCCTTGAAGAATGTAGTAGAAGCTGCATTCTTGAACCACAGCAGCCCTTGGGGCGTAGAGTCACCCACACCGTTTTTAGAAAGTGAATTCCAGTACTTGACCCAGCGACAGTGGAGGAAAAATGATATAGTTCCAAGTCAGGATACCGAATAGCTTGGAGAGAAACTTGCGGGTCATGGTGTTCTCATGTACTTGCTGTCCTTGTCCTTCTAAGTAGTAGAGACTGAGGATTTGGAAGATAGAATCAGAGGAGGCTTGGTGAGGTATTGTATGGCATTTTGTAGATGGTACACACTGGAAGTTACATATCAAAGCCAGTGAACACTATTCCATCACACTCCTAAATTATGCCTTGTAGATAGTGGACAGGTGTTTGGGTGACAGGTAGCGAGTCACTTGCTGCAGAATTCCTAGCCTCTGACCTGGCCTTGCATGAACAGCATTTACATGGATGGTCTCGTTCAGTTTCCGGACAATGGTACCTGATGGGATGTCAATAGTGGAGGATTCAGTGATGATAATGCAATTGAACATCAGGAGTTGATGGCTGGATTCTCTCATGTTGGAGCTGGTAACTGCCTGGTTCTTGTCTGGCATGATTCATCATGTTAAGGAAAAGCACACAAGCTTTGTAAAAGGGGCACTCTTTTTCTACCAGCTTTCCAAACCTCCCCTGTTTAGTTCAATCATAAGCAGCTCTGGTTGTTTATTAGGCCCTTGACATCACAGCATAGTTGGTAGAAACACAATAGTTGGATATTGTTGGATCAGGAACAAACTCTTTTTATGGATAATCTTTGGATTGTCTTTGCATGATCCCATCATTATTAGTTGTAAAATACTTGAAATCTATTCCCAAATTCATAAAGCTGCATCTAATTTTCTGATTCAGAAAAATTATGAAATAAGAGACCACAGGATCTCAGTAGGTCATCCCTATCATCTGGGTCAGATTTCAGCGCAAATTCCATTGCTCCTCAGTCACAACATGAAATCAGTACACAGGCTTCCAAACATTACTGATCCACTTTTACTTTGGTGAAAGAACTGTGGAAATCTTAAAGAACTGATGCACTTTGGCAAGGAATTTAAACTGAAAGAACTGTAGATGCTGTAAATCAAAAGCCAAAATAGAAATTGCTGGAAAAACCTCAGCAAATCAGGCAGCATCTGTGAACAGAAATCAGAGTTAGTATTTCGGGTCCAGTGACCCTTCCTCAGAACGATAACTCTGATTTCTCTTCACAGATGCTACCTGACCTGCTGAACTTTGCCAGCAATTTGTTTTTGTTGGGCAGGAAGTTGTTTGATGAAATAATTTGGAGAAATGAGAGAAAAACAGCTCATGTGAGATCTCAATACTCAAGTTACACAATGAGGATTTCATGGTCAGGACATGAGAGTCGCATTATTATATGTCTAGACATTGAACAGTAATGGAAAAGCATTTGACTTACGCCTATAGCATGTTTACTAGTGCAAACCTAATATTGGTGTAGATCTAAAGATTTTGGTATTCAGATTTGGAAGCAATGGAAAGCTGCAACTGATGAGTCATTCTTGGATTCTTCCAATTAAAAAGGCCAGAGCAAACCTTTATGGTAGATTACATAACTATTCAGTAATCTCACACAAATTATTGCTTGGATAAGACTCAAATGCAGCTTACTTAGAACTTCATTTGATCAAAAGAAGGGAGGAATTAAAATATTAATATTATGCATTTTATCAATTATCATTTTACTATTTGTATTAAATTTGAAAAAAAAAAAACAACTTACCTCAAATCCAATACCAGGCTCGCAACAACTCCAGGCTGCATAGATTTGCCTTCAGCTACGTCATATAGAAAAAGCTTACAATCACAAACCACTGCATATGCTCTTTGCCAGCCTTTCTTCACTCCTGTGGGCTTGGGAACCTCAAGAAAACAAATAAAATAAGTAAATAGAATTGAAGATTATTTAATCATGATTAAAGTTTAACAAGAACTTTTGCATAAGGTCCTTTCTCAATTTTATTTTTAATTTTTGCACTGTTGAGCGTGTTTCCTAATTCTGTTTTATAGTTTTGCTATTCTTTCTGCTCTATTATTCAGGTTCAAAAACTGCATTTTTCAAAATACTCAAATATTACTGTTCCAGAATTAAATTCTCCCAAAGCACTTCAATGTCAGATCAAACCAGAATAGTTACAGCAAGGATTGGAACACTGGTTGGTTATCTATCACACCTAATAGTCACGTGCATGATGGAGACTGTGGTATAATGGTTGAACAATGTATATTATTTGAATTTTACCTGCAGACTGCTAGGAGTAAGCAGCACTGTGATACTGAGTAAATTAAGATGGATCACCTCTTCAAATTGACAAAAGTATATAACAGTGCAATTATTATCTATCTAAACGCTTGCCACTTTCAGTGCATTGTTAATCCTATTAATGTGCTAAAACTAAACATACACTAAATGAGCATGTATAACAATATGTGAAACCTTTGCCATAAATTCCACATTTTATTCAAAGATTATTCCAATACCTTTACGTAGCCTTTGTAAGCTGTACCAATCCCCCTCTGAACATCAATTCCAAGTGGCCTCTTTGCTTGCTCAGATGGAAGAGGGCATACTTGAGGTGCACTGTCCTTGCACAATACGTGGCATATAAATGAGCATACTATGGAATAGGAAAAATTATTTTGATGGATACATAATAAACACATTAGGTTTTAGTGAAATACTAATTACGTTTGAAATCTAAACAAATATTCAGATATTGTAAAATAACTGCACAATTTTTCACTCAACTACTTTATTAACATTTTGTTGATGTTAAAAACATAGGTGCAAAATTAGTTTCACAAGTTAATTTTACATATTTTTACCTCATATCAAAAGTTAAATTCCAAGAATGTCAAAGTGTTAAAATAGATAATGCTGATGTATCACTCACCATCACAGGCATATCCCTGTCGTACTAAACCCACCATTAGAGACGTACAATGGCTACACTGTGTAGGGCTTGAGAAATTTCTGATACTGACCTGATGAGCTTTAGGCTGAGTAATTAAAGAGAAAAGTACAAAGGGTAACATGATAAACTGACATAGCGATTCCTTGTAATAAAAAACTTTTTTTTTTATTATTCATTCACAGAATGAAACGTCCCTGGCTAGGCCAGCATTTATTGCCCATCCTTAATTGCCCAGAGGGCAGTTAAAAGTCAACTGCACTGGGTCTGGAGTCGCAACTTTATTAAAGTGGCTCTTGTGGCACAGTGCTAGTGTGGCATCCGAGTTCAAGTTCACCTACCCCGGAGGTGTGTAATAACATCTGAATATGTTGATTAGAAAATATATACACATCTTTGTGTGAAACGATTAAATAATTGAATTTTCAGGTTGAATTTGCTTCAGGATCAAGATCCTCTTTGGAATTGATGGCCAAAAGGAAGGTACATTCATAATGTGACCAAACAAGTTGAAGATAAATTTACAAATCCTTTCAAACAGGCCAGTGATGGACTGCAAAAATGGGAGAGATGTTTGGTCATCCACGTGATGGAAAATAATTGGATTTTCGACAGCACTGTGGCTCAGTGGTTAGCACTGCTGCCTCATTGCGCCAGGGACCTGGGTTAGTTTCCACTCTCGGGCTACTGTCTGTATGGAGTTTGCACATTCTCCCCACGTCTGCATGGGTTTCCTCCCACAAACTAAAGATGTGCAAGGTGGGTGGACTGGTCATGCTAAATTGCCTGTAGTGCCCAGGGATGTGTAGGTTTGGTACATTAGCCAAGGGAAATATAGGGTCAGGGGATGGGCCTTGGTGGGATGCTCTTTGGAGGGTTGGTGTGGACTTGTTGGGCTGAATGGCCTCTTTCCACACTGTAGAGATTCTATGGATCAACTACTATTGCTATCTAGAGCTCTAGGCTACAATGTACATGTAAAATGTAACTTGAGCTCCATGGAATTAGAGGGGCAGTTGGCTCAGTAGCAAGTTGGAACAGATTGGTGCCAACAGCACTGGGTTCAATTCCCATTCCCAATCGGGTGGATTTGGTACTTGCCTCCTTGGCCTACCCATGGTGGAGGTTGTGGTTTGACCTTTCATTTGGGCAGAGATCTTAAGTGAATTTTCACTCAAATTTCATCAATATGAACATGTGGAGATGAGGGTTGGACCTCTGGTCTAACAACTTTACTAACAAATACAAAAGTAAACAAAGTATACCTTAGGCAAAGGTGTAGGTTGCACAAATATAGGAGATGTAGCAGCAGGAGCGGTTTGCTGTGGTGTTAGTGGCTCCTGAAATTTATAAAACACAAACATTGAGCTCACTACAAGCCATTCTCATTTCATCACAAAAGACACAATAAAAATCAACTTTTCTAAGGGTTGATAAATTTTTTGCTAGTCAAATAATGCAAGACTCTGGATATTATGATCTTATCTATCCAATGTAAAGTTATATATGATATCAGAAAATCAGTTTAGGCAGCTTTGAAAATTGCATTTTTGAAGCTGTAATCCACAGCACATTACAATACTCATACGTAGTGCCAAGGAAATAGAATGTTTAATTCTCAAAGACACTGGAGGAACAATAATATTAAAGTCCAATCAATTAGCCTGTTTCAAGATTCAAATACTCTAGCACTATCCATAATATATCATATGATGTCAGGTTTTAATAAAAAGTAAATTAAAGTTTTAATTTGTTACAAATGATAACTATTCAACCTCTCTGCTACATGATGCTACTTAAGCCTTCTAGTGCAAAAAAATGCATTGCACGCCAAAAATGTGAATTGCTAGTCAAGACATATCCCAAATTTCATGTATGGAAACACTCAATAATTCTACTAATATATTAAAAATCATATGTTTGTAATCACAGTCAATTGTCTCCACCATAAACTCTGAAGTCCATAATTCATGCTCCATTACTTTTACCTGCCAGGGGAGGCACTGCATGCACAATAAAAACGTGACAAGTTTACAATTAAAATTAGATCCCATGATTTGAAGAATGAGTAAGGTTGAGTAGGTTCTAGTAGCCCAGAATCTGGAGGAAGTAAAAGTAATCTATGCTGAAAGTAAGGGCACAGAGCACTACATCAATTTACTTCTTTTCCACCATTCCTCAACTACAACCATAATATCACAGGTTCAGTGGGCAGAAACACTGCCTTGTGTGGCAACTTGCTTTTTGGTTTAATTTGATTCCCCAATCGTGCTAAGTTAGCCAGACAGCATTTGGGGTGCCATATAGTCAGGAAAGAACAAATAGTAACAGGTCCTGTTTAATTCTTGATTGTCTTTGACGAAAGGTATCTTTATCCTGTTATGTGGGAACAGTCATAGACTCATATAGCCTGGAATCTGACATGTCCATGTCGACCAAGTTTCCCAAACTAACCTAGTCTCAAACTTGCCTGCATTTGGCCCATATCCCTCTAAACCTCTCCTATTCATGTATCTATCCAAATGTCTTTTAAATGTTCTAACTGTATCTGCATCTACCACTTCCTCTGGGCAGTTCATTCCACATATGAACCACCCTGTGTGAAAAAGGTGCCCTTCAGGTCCCTTTTAAACCTGTCATCTTAAACATATGCCCCTAGTTTTGAACTCCTTCACCCTAGGGAAAAGACACTTGCCATTCACCTTATCTATGCCCCTCATGGTTTTATAAACCTCTAAGGTCACCCCTCAACCTCCTGCACTCCAGTGAAAAAGGTCTCAGCCTATCCAGCCTCTCCTTATAAAGATGAAGGTTAAGTATAATTTTCTCCATAGTAAAGCAGTCCGCCAACTAAGGATCATAAATGATACATAGATGAAACTGAACATAATAAGGTTCAGAACAGTGGGGAAAAGAAACATTAAATTGGGGTGGGAAAGGAATAAGAAATTATTTTCTTAGGGAAATACTATGCTTAATCTATTGCCTTATCAGATTTACAAAGAAAATCTCTGACAGAAAGGGTTTCTATCACTTTGCTGAAGAGAGAGACATGTTGCTGAAGCTTTTCATCTTACGTTCACCAGTGCAAACTGTGTCTGTATTGACTGAATTTCTGAACTTACCAACTCATACAGTCAAGTTCAATTCCTGCGAGATCCACCTATAGGTGCTAACATTTCCGTCTCTTTCCATCAGAAACACGATTTTGAGCCGTAGCCTCCTGCCCCATGAAAATTTCCAATACATTGCCACCCTTTTTACTATCTTTGAAACTACACCTGAATGAAACTATTTCCTTACCAATGTAAATATGGTCCATCCCACACTCAAATGCACTTTTGAGATGCAGCAGTCCAATGTAGTGTTAGTTGAAAATCCTCTAATGACGGCTCCAATACTGGCTAGTACAAATTGACCTTTACTGGTCAGAAACAAAAGTGCATCAAAGCCATCCTGTAGGACAATGGCTAAACTGATTAGATCATTGTTTGCTGCATATTGCGCAAACTTGCAAATGGGACAATGGCTGCAATTTTTGAACGTCAAAAGTGGCCAGCTGAACTCAAATTACCCATGAAACTTCGAAGTAGCCAGAAAGTTTGAACAAGTTAAGCAAGCCATTTTACATTGCTTCTAATGTTGGAAGTGATATTTCCACTAATATGTTGGTACCATCAATCCAAAAGGACATTCTGCCTATCACACTACCGAGCAACACTATGAGTTTCAGCACCAGCGTGGTTTCAAAAATGTAAATCGTCTGAAACAATGATTAGCGGATCAATTCATCAATGCATTCAGCTGCTCAGCATTGTCAAGAGTACAGAGCATACTTAGTCAGCCCATGCTTACAAAATCCAAAGTAAAATTTCTATTGTTAAATGTGGTTCCGCGATTGGGTATCACTCGCTGAACAATCCCGAGTGCAGTAATAACTACGCTAATAAACAATATTTGATAATCAGTCATGCTCATAACAAAGCTCATTTAGGCTTAATAGAAGTGATACATATTTATACAAAGGGACTTGTTTTCGCTAAACAAAAACAGATATATTCAAGCTTTGTGCCTTCATAAACTACCTAGCGTAGAGAGCCTATCGCTTTTGTTGCTTTCTCCATCACAACGTCTCTGCCATCAGAGTCAACTTGCAACGTATCAGCACCCTTTATACCCTACAGTTCAAATTGTTATGATAATTTGAAATTTGGCATTGCTACATTTGTTCCAATGAGTGTAAAACAAGAGTTTTGGCAAAACGTGTTTTTTTTCCCCAGTAGTTTTCAAATTCTGTACAACCAAGCTACCAAAGGCACTTAAATCAGCGACAGCACTTACAATACTTACGTCTCTCCGCTCTAAATTGCTAGAAACTGATGGTGATGGAGAATGAGAAGATGTTTCTGGTTTTGGGCCCACCAAATCAGACTCACTAATGGAACCGCTCTGTTGAAAATAAGAAACAATTTCAAATAAAAATTTGCATGAGAATCACATCAAATTAATACTTTAATTCATAATCATTTTCAACTCAAATAAAAGTTACATCCTAACACAATTTAGGTAAGTTTCAAGTTAGAAAAATATTTACCTTTGCAACATTCTTATAATAATCATACTGCATTGTAACATCACATATCACGACTCTGAAGACCTCTGCATTTTGTCACTAAAGATTCACCATGCTCTAAATGAACAAGATGCTCGAGAAATAATTGGTGGTTTAGATGGGAACTACTATTCCCCACTAAACTTCAAATGGAAGTTGCAGACCAGCTGTAAGATACAGGATTGCTTTTCAGTCCATCAATCAGAAGCTTGGGTTTAAATGTCAATCAAATTATTCTTGCTTTTCAAACTATGTCAATACGACAATAATAATTTTGGTTGCGGGCAAATCATGAAGCACATTATGAAATACTTAACATCCTTACAAGCTAAACTATTAGTACAGTATCACTATAGGAAACTTTCAAACTAAACATTGTGTAAAATATTTGCGAGTCCTGCATGATAGCTATCTTGTCTACTATTTAAAAAAAAAAAGATTTACACTTCGGCTTTCATGGCCACAGAGTATCCTGCACCAATGAAGGATTTTAGAATTCTTGTAATATGGCAAACAGATGCCAAATTGAACAAAATAATTAAATAAATGACAATATCATCTGTTTTCTATGTTGGTCAGCCAACAAAATAAATTCCCTAGCTCTGCTGCAAACAATAATGAGCACTTTTACGTCACGAGAGTTGGTTTAATGTCTCATCTGAAAGACTGCATCTCTAACTATCCAGCAATGCCTCAATACTGCACAGAAATGTCAACATTTTGTATCAGTATAGAATCTTTAATGCAATAAAAAAATCCCAAGCATCTCACAAGAGCATTATAAAATAAAATAGGACACCGAAGCTACTTAAGGCATTAATAGGACAGGTAACCAACCGTTTAGTCAAAGAGGTAGCTTTAAGGAGTGTCTTGAAAAACAAAGCAAGGAAGAGGTCCAGACAGATGACAAAGAAGAAATCCCAGAACTGGAGGCCCAGACAACTGCAGGCATGGTTACCATTTAAAGGCAGGAATGCTCAAGCGACAAGAACTAGGTGGATGTAGATATGACAGAAGGTCATGGAACAGGATATTAGAGATAGGAAAGTGAATGTTAAAAATCAAGACACTGGTTGACTGTGAATTAATGTTGGTTAGCAAGAACAGGAGTGACAAGTGAGTGGGACTTAGTGTAAATTAAGGCATGAGTAGCAGAATTTTCGATCACTCCAAGTTTACAGAGGAGAGAAACTGGGAGGCCAGCCTGCGATGCATTGGAATAGACAAGTCTAAAGTTAGCAAAGATATGAAGTTTCAGCAGTAGTTGGGCTGAGACAAAGATAGAGTCATGCAATGTTACAAAAGTAGAAACAAGTGGTCTTAGTGATGGTGTCAATGCATGGTCAGACGTTGACCTTGAGATATAATCTTAGAATGTTGCCAGAAAGAGGGAAAGATTGGTTAGATAGGGTTAGAAGTTTGCAGCAGGGACCTAAAACAATGTTTCCAGTCTTCTCAATATTTACGTGAAGGAAACACCTGCACATGGAGTACTCGATGTCAAATAGCAATCCGATAATGTAGCAACAATAGATGAATCAAGAGGCGTGGTGGTGAGGTAGAACTAGGTATCACAAGTGTACATGTTAGAACTAATACCGTGCTTTTAGTTGATGTCTCTGAAGGGCAACATACATATTGGAAATAAGTTACAATGACAAATCTTTTGGAGATAGTAAAGGTTATAGTGGGATGTGCAGGAAGAGAAGCATTTGATATGTTTCCCTGGCTATGATTAGATGGGCAAGAATGGAACCAGCTGAGAACAGTCCAACGTAGATGGACCGGAGCAAAAAGGCATTTGAGGAATATAGTGCAATTAACCATGTCAAAAGCTGCCAACAGGATGAGGAAAATGTAGAGGGACTGTCAACTAGTGGCAATCACGCAAGATGCCATTGGGATCTTCAATAGGAGTCATTTTAGTGTTATGAATGGGTTAGAAACACAACTGGAGGCATTCAAATGTGAAGTTTGTGAAAGATGGGCATGGATTGGCAGCAATGTGAAGATTCTGGAGAGCAAAGGGATGTTGGAAAGTTGGCGATTTTGCAAGGATGTTTCTGCAAATGGTTTTTTTGAGATGGCTGATGACTGCAAATTTAAAGGCGATCATGATGGTGAAGAAGGAAAGCTCGGTGGTCAGCAGTTCAGTAGGAAAGAGTTGAAGGAACAGGGCATATGGAAACACTGTAAAAGTGCCCCAACCACAGCTAACGAATGAAATTAAGGATAGTATCATACCCAAAGAGTCGTCGTCATAATTTACCAGAGAAAGGTAGCAAGTATGGGGGCTGAGAATGGTTTAGATTTCAGCAAAGGAAGATCAAGAGGTTGATTAAGAGTACAAAAATAGGTAATGACTTGCAAGGAGTGTAAAAGTAGGCTGTAAGCATTTCTGTTAGTCTGCAAATAGAAAAAGATTAGTGAAGACAAATATAGGTCCCTTGCATCTTCAAATGGGAGAAATTATCATGGAGAATAAGAAACAACAGAGCAACTAACCAGCTACTTTACTTCTGACTTCACAGAAGAATACATGAATAACTTCCCAGGAATGTTAGGGAAGCAAGAGTACATTACAAAAGAGAATTTGCAGGAAATTAGTTTCAGTTAAAAAAAACTAGTGCAGGAGAAATTAATAAGACTAAAAGCTTATAAATCACTAGGGCCAGATAATGAAAACCCCAGGGTACTGAAAGAGGTGGCCACAAATAATGGATGCATTAGACCATAACATATAGGAGCAGAATTAGGCCATTCAGCCCCTCAAGTCTGCACCACCATTCAAAATGGCTGATATGTTTCTCAACCCCATTCTCTTGCCTTCTTCCTGTAATCTTTGATCCTCTTACTAAACAAGAACCTATTTCTGACTTAAATACACTCAATGACTTGGTCTCCACAGCGTTCTGTGGCAATGAGCTCAGAGTGTTACCATCCTCCGGCTGAAGAAATTCCTACTTGTCTCAGTTCTAAAGGGTCATCCCTTCACCCTGAGGCTGTGCCCCTGGGGTTCTAGTCTCTTCTACTAGAGGAAACATCTTCTCCACATCCACTTTATCCAAGCCTCTCGGTATTCCATAGGTTTCAACAAGAACCTCCTCGTCCTTCTAAATCATCTTGAGTATGAATTCAGAGTCCTCAACCGCTCCTCATATAACAAGCCCTTCACGCCCGGGATCATTCTTGTAAACCTCCACTGGCCCCCATCCAAATCAGCACATCTCCCCCTAGATACAGGGCCCAAAACTGCTCAAATATTCCAAATGCAGTTTGACCAAAGCTTAATACAGCCTTAGCAGTACAGCTCTGTGGTTGTTTTCTAATCGTCTTGAAACAAATAATAACATTGCATTTACCTTCCTAACTGCCAAATGAACCTGTATGTTAATCTTAAAGAGAATCCTGAAATAGGACTCCCAAGTCCCTTTGCGCTTCAGATTTCAAAAGATTTTGCTCAATTGAAAAATAGTCTCTGCCACTATTCTCCCTCTTAAAATGTATAACCTCACACTTTGCCACATTGTATTCTAACTTGCCACTTCTTTGCCCAATTGCCTAGCATGTCCAAGACTGTCTGCAGCTTCCCTGCTTTTTCAACACTACACTATCTGTCCATCCAACTATCTTTGTGTCATTAGCTGTCAACTTCCAAAATTCTGTACATTCTTGAACAGTTGTGGCAGACTGGCAGGCAGCAAATGTAACCCACTGTTTAAGGGGGGGGAAACGAGAAACACGAGAATTAGACCAGTTAGCCTACATCATAGTAGGGAAAATGCTGGAGATTATTATAAATGATATGAGAACAGGACACTTAGAAAATACCAATCGAATTACATCATGTAAACATGGATTTGTGAATTCTGCTCCTATGATGCTGCTTGGCCTGCTGTGTTCATCCAGCCCTGCACCTTGTTGTCTAGAATAAAAACACTGCCCTTTTTTGAATTCATAACTAGAACAGACAAGGGAAAACCTGTATATTTGAATTTTTATAATGCTTTTGATAAAGTCCAGCATACGAGTCTTGTGTGCAAAATTACTGGTCATGGATTGAGAACTGGTTAGCAGACAAGGAAATTAAGTAGGAAAAAATAGGTCGTTTTCAGAGTGAAAAATGGTGACAAGTGGGATGCCACAGTATCAGGACTTGAGCACGTTATTCACAATACATATACATAAACTATTTAGATGGAGGCATCAAATGTAATATTTATATAAAAATGAAAGAACTGCGGATGCTGTAAACCAGGAAACAAAACAGAAGTTGCTGGAAAAGCTCAGCAGGTCTAGCAGTATCTGTGAAGCAAAAAACAGAGTTAACGTTTCGGGTCCGGTGACCCTTCCTCAGAGCTGATGGTGGCTGGGAAAACATCAGTTTATATGCAGAAGAAGCATATAGATTGGTCAAGAAAAAATAAATATGCAGATTGGGAGCATTTAGAATTCAGCAAAAAAGCAAGGGATTGGTTAAGAAGGGAAAAATAGAGTACGAAAGTAAGCTTGCAGTGAATATAAAGACTGACGCTAAGAGTTTCTATCGGTACGTGAAGTGAAAGATTGGTAAAGACAAATGTAGGTCCCCTACAGACAAAAATGGGGGAATGTATAATAAGGGACAAAGAAATGGCTGAGAAACCGAATACATACTTTGGTTCTGTCTTCACAAAAGAGGACACAAATTAGATACCACAATTGTTGGAGGAGGCAAGATTTAGTGAGAGGGAAGAGCTGAGGGATAAGAGTGTTAGTAGCGAAGTGGTACTGGGAAAATTGGTCGGATTGAAGGCCAGGGCCTGATAATCTACATCCCAGAGTACTTAAAGAAACC